CGGTTCACAAATCGTTGAAGATTGGTGGGTCGGTTTTTGGACGCTCCAGACAAACCCGAGCTTTCTTCGTTGTACAATCCTGCAAAATGGAGGTGGAACATGAGATTTATGATAGCAGACAGCTAAAATTGGTGAATTGTCGTTCCAGCGGCGGTGGTTGATGGTGGTGGTATGTTGAACGCCGGCGTACTGGTGAAGTGGTTGTGCGAATCTTCAATATTGTCTGTGCCTCCGTTTTGCAGGCGGTTGGTCGTTCAACTGCCCGGTCGTCTTTGTCCCGCTAGCAGCCTGGTTCAGCTAGCCCGAACGTCTCTCTTGGCAAGCTATCCGATTGGCAGCGATTCCGGTCACTACTTATCATATCTGTAGGTAGAAAAACATTTGAATTTATAACCAAAGGTCCCACGGTGGATTCCAAACTGTAGAGGTACATTTAAATTTGTGAGGAGGCCAATGGTTGAATTCAGATGATTGGAGTGTTAGTATCGTGATCGCAGAGAAAAGAAGTAGACAAGAAAAATAAATAGAGCATGACACAAAACTTTATAGTGGTTCTCCTGATAACATAGGGTACATTCACTGTGAGGCCTTCGGATCTTCTACTATGAATATTAATGAAGAACACAATGGTAATCTTTGTAAATGTTAAGAGAATTCTATAAAGAATATTGAAAAGTATGTAAAAAGTGGTGGAAAAGCTCCTAGGAAAGCTTGAAAATGATGTAGGCGTGAGATGATGGGCGTGAACACGTGTCTCTGTTTGTCTCCCTCTTCCTTGGACGTGCATGGGCTTTTTTTATAGGCCTTAATTGCTTGAAAAATGATTTAAGGCAAGTTTCCCATTTGACTTTTGATTGAAGATCCTTTCCTTGTAGAGAGATTGCTTGGGGAGCAAGTTTAGGTGGAGATTGACTTTCCCTTTTGCTATTCGAGGCAAGATCCCACGAAATATGGTGCTGTGATAGTGGAATTAATGCTGAAATTCGGATGTTGAGCTGGTAGCCTCGCGGTTGGATTAGTCGTTTGGGTAGCGGACCACTAGACTAATCGTTCGGGCAGCCAACCTTGTTGACGACTAGCGGGTCGTTTCCGGCAGCCAATTTCGTGATTCAGCCCTTTTCGAGAAGTGTGTTGACACGTGTATGGTGAGAAATGGGGTACGAAATTTAGCCTCAACAATATTTACCATGTTGGTCCATTATCATAGAATGTTGTTGCTTGATCCATGTTTCATTGAGTCGATGATAGGAGCAAGGAATTCATAAATTGGGCAATGTCGTTCAAAATTTTAAAGATGGAGTGAATTGAAGAAATCCATTTGGTGTCACAAAGAGAATAATAGAACAAGCACCCTTGGTGCATTTGTTTCCTCACCAGTCACCAGAAATGACGTATTCGAGTTAAAGAATATATAATCCACCTTAGGTATGTCATGCTTGTGTCAATTTGGAGCAACTTCTCATGGAGTTAGTTTTATGAATTATCTGAAACTTATATAACCACTACATTTTTTAGAATACTAGCGGAAGTGGATGGACTCACCTGGCAATAAAGATTGCGGAAGGTGATCCTAGTTGCCGTGATAAGAATAAAGATGTTTGGGCATTACTAATAATACCCGACACGGAGACGTATGTGTAGGCCACACTAACCCATGAGTCTCACAAGATCAGCGTACACTTGTCTCTTGCCGTGTTAGTGATACCCAACAGCAATGCTTCCACGATAATGTAGCAGGTGACATCATGCTCTACCTTTGAAGGAATTCCGGAACGTTTTTCTGACAAATAGAACTTCTAGAATTTGTAACACATATTGTCCTATTTTTTGGTTTGCCTTGAAACTCATTTGTAAAAGGGTGTGACCAATTGTTTTCCTGATTAACCATGTGCTACAGTATTGCTTGTGATCTAAATGCAAAATAATGCAACATCGGTTGCTCCTTAATCCTTCAGGATTAGATTTTTCATCTGCGGGTTCAGCTGGAGAAGTCTATCCAGTGTATTGATGGCAGTGCATTATACTGGTTCGGTGTCTGTTCCTCGTAGAAAAAGTTCCCTGCGAACTACTCTCACTCAATTTTTAAGAATGCATTGTGTAAATGAAAGCTTCTTTGTCACTGGCTCAACATACCAAGTAGGCTCTGGATTTTTCAACTATCTTGTGACTTCGCGATTTACAATGTTTATTTTCTGGACAATCATTCTGAGCCACTAGGCAATACTAGCTTGTGTTCTAATATACACAGACTAGAAGTTTTGGTTGTTCTTTGCAAATATTTAGATTTAGATTTCCCTAGATTTTTAGTAATTGTACACGTGCAGGCACATACATGTAGACCCACACCTCATGTCTTTGTGTGTGTGTGTGTGTGTGTGTGTGTAGATATATATGAATGCGCCACTGCTTTGACAAATGATTGTACATTAAGTGGAAATTGTGACGTACGTATGAAAGGAGCTCACTATATTTTTCTCAAAAAGGATTTAGAACTTTCCGTTCAATTTAGTGGTGAACACTCGAGGGATTCTTATTGTGCGTCACTAGATTTTCACAACTTTCATTTGATGCACATCATAATTTGTTAATATTCTTATGATCTACACATTGAATCAACTTGAGTCTTAAACAGAATAATTAGTATCGTAGTTGTGAAACCTTTTTGATATAGTTTCTCTTGTGGTATCAAGGATCTTTAATCATTACAGTATGCGGAACATATTCGACACTTTGATTACATTTAATATTTTCTTTCTTATCTTAAACTTGTAAGTACTTTTTTCCCCTTTTGTATGGAATGTTATATTGCTCAGCTTTTCTGTTTGCAAGCGACAATTAATATCATCAACCTCAGAATTCAAGTTCTTTAGAAATGCAGCACCTTGAATGAGATTTAGACCTCTATGTTAGTCATCAGTTAATAAAATTTGATTCGAACCTACAAAGAAGTTTTATTTCATTGGTGACGTCGAATTCTCTTGTTTCACAGCAGTGTGGGCCCCTGTATTTAGTGGTGACCGAAATGTAAGATCTGGAATGTTCTTAGCACATTTTGCTTCTCTTATTTGTGAACTCTTTTATATCAGTTACTACTTTTTCTCCGTACTCATAAAAGTAGGTCAAGTTCCCGTATGAATTGTCACTAATGTATTTCTTTCAAGTACTCTTTTGCAGGCTAAGCCCGAACCAAATCTTTCTCGAGTAAAGAGAAAAGCTCTGGAACCACCCACATTGGATTCTGATGAGCTCTGTCCGTTTGGTTTGAAGAAGAAGCCCAAGGAGGAGTTGAGTTGTGCCTTATGCCATGTTAGTGCAACAGGTGAGAAAGCTTTGAACATTCATCTTCAAGGTAAGAAGCACAAGCGCAAGGAAGCAGCACTTAGAAATCAGAAGATGAGAAAGAACCCCATCAATGCACCCTGTCCAAAGAAAATTGGGGATCCATCTGAACCAAAAGAGACCAACATTACTGCAAGTTCAGATTTAGAAGGGAAGTCTCTTAAACAAAGTGGATCCCAGAATGGTTCAGACGAGATAAAAGAGGATGCAGAAGATTTAAAACCTGAAAACATGCTGCTAATGCTGAAAGGCCAAAATGCCAGGAAATTGAACAAGACAGGCAGATCAATGATGCTGCGGAAAGCGAATGGATCTGTGGGATACAAGAAGATAAAGAAGACGAAGACGGCAAACAAATTTAAGTTTTGGTGTGAAATGTGTCGGGTTGGTTCTTTCTGTTCAAGAGTGATGGAGGACCATAAGAAAGGGAAGAAACACAGAGGTAAACTTCTTGGTTATGAACCTAGTATAAGTGAAGAAGCTACCTTCAAAATTACTCAAACATCAGAGGCTGTTCCTGAAAAGCCAGAAGACCCAGATGTTGCAAACCAAGTTAATGAGAAAACAACAGACGACATGAGCAATACCGAGGCTGTTCCTGAAAACCCAGAAGACACTGATGTTGCAAATCAAGCAAATGAAAAGACTATAAACAACATGACAAAGACCGAGGCTGTTCCTGAAAAGCCAGAAGACATGGATGTTGCAAATCAAGCAAATGGGGAGGTTACAGGCGACATGGCAAATATAGAGGCTGTTCATGGAAAGCCGGAAGACACTGATGCTGCAAAGCAAGCAAATGAGAAGATTACAAATGACATGACAAAGACCGAGGCTGTTCCTGAAAAGCCAGAAGGCACCGCTGTTGCAAATCAAACAAATGGGAAAGCTACGGACGACATGGCAAATGAAATACAGTAAAATCAAATCCTGCCCCAGAGACTCCAGAGGTTAAAGTAGTGTTGATGAACAGAAAGAATTAGAAAGTTGAGCCTCTTTTGCTCAAGGTACTTGCCTTTTTACCTTGTAGTGTCTGTAGACTGCAATTTTTTTGGTAGAAAATATGTACTGCAATTTGTATGACCATCAATCAGGCTGCAAAATTCTCTTTCGAATCTTAAATTTGATGTTTTAGCCGTAAGAAAAGTGGGGAAAAAGAGATTTTAAATTCATTAAAGGTCCGTTCGGTTTGCTAATTCGAGTTTTTAATTCGAGTTGAGATGTGATGTTGTGTGAGAGTTTTTTACTATAACAAAAAAGTTAGATGTGACTGTTTCTAAAAGCTTTTTACTGTAGCAAAACTCGAATTCTAAACTCAAATCAGTGAAAGGAACGGGACCTAAGTTGCCACCAAAACCGGCAGTCTAATGGCACTACAGTTGAACTAAACTATGGTCTTTCTCAGAGAGCAATCATATGATTTTCCAGATTAATGTCAATCTCGATTTGGTTCCTTCTGAGTCACAAATTCACCTAATAATAATCTCTAGATATTGCTTTCATAGAAATATCTTTAACTATTTTTAGGGTTCTTTTGGAAATATCTGTCCTCGAACTAGTTACTGTTGTGACAGTTCACAGCATTTTTTTTTTTTTTTTGGTTATTGCGGGTTCTTTTGTCCATCACAAAATTAGCGATGAACTTTTAAAACTTTAATGGAGTTAAGTGAGACCTTAAACCTTTACAAAATTAATCCAAATATATTATGTGCTTGTATCTTTAAAATTCCAATAATATTATGAGCACGTGATTATTTCTCTTTCTAATTATTAACAAAAAGGATAGGCCCTCGTTACAGCATCAGAGATGCGGAAAGCATCTCATTAAACCAAGTACAACAAGACAATTAAAACAAGATTTATATAATAATCTTATAATATTATAAGAAATTGTAACTTCTACATTATGAATGTGTTTCCACGTTCTGTTGCATCTCTCTTTTTCTTTTAAAGCCGTTTAGTTCATTAATTTAAATTTTTAATTTGAATTGAGAGTAATTTTATGTGTTATTTTTTTATTACAGTAAAAAAATTATATGACTGTTTTTGAGAATTTTTTATTATAGTAAAACTTAAATTTTAAACTCGAATCGATAAAATAAATAAAGTCTTAGTTCATTGAGTAAATTCAAGAGAAGAATACACTTATATTATTGAAGTCTATATCATCACCAAAGGAAAAGTTATAAAACGAGGGAAATAGAGACGTACAAGGAGTTGGATTAGCAAAAAGGGTATGACATTCAACTCTCGTGCTCTTTTCATCACGATCGAGAATTACATAACCATCTGTAAATAAGATAAATCGGATTCTGTCTATGAGGACCGATCACAATTTGTATTGTTGTCAGGTCATTTTTGCCACACACAAAAAAAATGTAGTAAAGATTTTGTCCTTTTTAAGTTGAAAGAGCATCGAGTTTTGTGATTTGTTATTTTCGGTTTTGCACAATTGCAGTTGATGAGGACAACCTCAGTCGGGGACAAATTATTATATATACTAAAGGAGAGAGAAAATTCACTGTACAATAGTATTATGGATAGTGCATCACCGATTTTACCTTTTTCTCCCTTTTACCGATTTTGCCCTTTTCCCCTTGCCCCCTTTTCCCATTCCTCTCCAGCGCAGAGACTTTTCGGTCTTTTAGTGGAAGTTTGGTTTTCGGATTCAAAATCGTGATTTAGAATTATTTTCGGTTTACGTATATTTTTTGTGAGAAAAAAAATACTATAATAGGCTACAAACCATAATTCGAATCATAGAACGAATCCTCATACCAAACACCCTATTTATGATCTAATTTTATAGTTTTGCCCATAGGTTTTTGTTCCTCCATTTGTTATTTGATTGGCCCTTATTGTTTTGCCCTAGGGCTTAATCCTTCTTTGATTTCTCCATTCCTTGCGCCTCTTTCATTTGATTTTCTGAGAAACCCTAGATCCCTTCTTTGGTTCTTCTATTCTCTCCGCCTCTTTCCTTTGATTTTGGTAGAAGCTTTGGGCTCTCATCTATTCTTACTTCTGAGTTGTTCGATTGGTTTGATGCGCAATTTTGTTTGGATCTTTTCGGTGGTTTTGGTGGACGGTTCTTTGATTCTTCTTGGTTTTGTTCGAGGGCATTTCCATTCTTCTTCGCTACTTCTCCGTTTGTTTGATTCGTGATTCTGGTTTAGTTTTTTTTCTGTGCTTTGGTTGCAGTACATGTTTTGTGCTTTTGTTGGTTTTTTTTCCCTTTAATATTTTTTTCTTCTTTTTTGTTGGTTGTCTTCTTTTGTGGAGAAATTTTGATGAAAGAGACCGGAAGAAAATAGAAACTGGGGATCTAGACCGTTTTTTTTTTCATAACAAAAAACCATTGACGTGTATCTTACGTGTTAAAAGATGGACCCCATTTTAATCCATGTGTACATTTTAATTTTCCCTCTCTCAAAACTGAACAGACCCTCACCCCGACTGACCCTTTTTCTTTCTTTTCTTTTTTTCTTTTTTTTCTTTTTCCTTCCATTCCTTCCCTACCCAAACCCCCTTTCCTCTCTCTCTCTCTCTCCCCTCTCTGGTTCTCACCGACCAACCCAACACCGACCGATCCTCACGAACACCGACCGACCATCCCAAACGCCGACCGACCCTCCAGAACTCCGACCCGACCCTTTTGAACGCCGACCGACCAACCCCAACGCCGACCGATGATTTCCACCCCAACGCTGACCAACCTACCGCAAATGCCGACCGATCCTCACGAACACCGACTGACCATCCTGAACACCGACCGACCCTCCAAAACTCTAACACGACCCTCTCGAACGCCGACCGACCAACCTCAATGCCGACCGACCATTTCCACCGACCTTCCGAATGCCGACCCGACCAGAACACCCACGCCTCCAGACCACAACTGAAATGGCATCACAAAACAACTCTTCTTCCTCAACTAAGAAGGCTATTTCCAGAACTCAAGTCGACGAGGTAACGGAATATGCTCTCCCTCAGGTAACACTAAGATTTTATTCTCTGAATTAACATTAAGGTTTTATTCTTGTTTTATTTTTTTTCAATTACATTTTTGCAAGAACAAAACTTAATATAAGAAAAAGCAAAGAATATACATCACTGTAGTGTGTGTCACGGCCGGTTCTAGGTCAGTTTCAGTCGGTTCAGTCATGCTCGTTCTAGGTCGGTTCTGTTGGATCCCGAATCGAATTCGGGTGCGGAAGCGTGGGGAGAGGCGGATCGTGTATAACAAAAATTTTCACAAAACTTTTGAAATACTCTAGAGATTATATTAATCTATGCACGAATAAATTAATCGCATTAATTTACATCAAGAACTCAATCCGGAAAAATACCTGGAAGCCGACTCGGATGATAACTTGAGTTCTTTGACCACGAACAGTCCTTACTCCAAGTTTGTGTTTAGAATACCAAAGTCTTCCACGTCAATTCATTGATTCCACGTAGACGTGTGTGTGGGCACACGTGAGACAAAACAGGTTTCTTAAACACTCGAATTTCCACAAACACCAACGCATGCACGATGTGGAATTTTTTGGAGAAAAATATTTTTGCTCTCTTTTTTCCTTGAGAAATTCGGCCACCACTGATTTTAGGGCTGAAAAATGTTTCAAAAATTGTGTCCACAATTTTCTATCATTCTCATATTTAAAGAGTAGAAGTCAAACTTCAAAACAGAATCAAATCCATATCTCCAATTTTGAATTTAGAACAGAAAATCCATTCCCTTTATCCATTAGGTGGCCGGCCACATCATTAGGGTTTTACCCTGTGTGTGGCGCCAATAACAGATAGGGAAGGAAGAGA